AACAACTTGTGGGTTATTTCTATGCTACATTAAATAGATTGTTACTGTTGATTTACAAACACCAATGTGAGTTTCTGTCCTTACTAATGATAAAGATCTATCCAGTGTATTTCATCTGGTGTAGTATAGTATAAACCCAATGTGTGTCAGTCATGTGCAATAGTATAAAGCCAACTTGCGCGTATTCCTTTTATTTATTATTATTTTTTTTTATAACTAATTGTTATTTTAAACCATTTCAAATCATGTCTCTTTTTAATCAAGTCGAAAAAGGTCTAAAATCGTATTCGACTTCACGTGACTTTTCGTCAGCATCTTAGTAAATATGATATTGCTCTTCCCATAGTCCTATTAAACTGAAATGTTAAATGTCGTTTCAATTCTACTAATACCGTTTTGACTTAGAACATGATTTTGACACTATTCTAATTTGAATTTGGCAAAATTTAAAAGACGGATATCGTAGTCATTTGAGTTAGCTTTCCAATCTAACTTGAATCAGCTAGATTGGATGTCAGGTGATAAAGTTACACATGAATTAGTTACATTTTAAATTTTACATAATTTAAAACATCAAAATTGTGGGCAGTGTTCATTGATTCATGCATAACTTTCTCAACCGACATCCAATCTTGGCGATTCGAGTTAGATTAGAAAACTAATTCAAAGAACTACAAATTCCATGTTCTGAATTTTGCCCAATTCAAACTCAAAAATGGTCAAAATCACATTTGAAGTCAAAACAACATTATTAAAATTGAAACGACATTTATCACATCCCCTATTAAAATACCATGTTACAACAACGAAGACTAATTACGATTCTCGTGTACTATTAACAGGATATATATATGTCCGTCTCAAAACAAATAATTTCTATAATAGAACAATAAACTAATAAAGAGAAATATTTCACAAATTTTATTGAGCAAAAACATGAATTTTATTAGAACAATAAACAAATAAAATTTCTAACAATAATGAAAAATCTAATTAAAACAGGAAGATACCACTCCTTATGCAAATATCACTTTATAAAAAAATATACATTTCAAAAAAAATATTTGCAAACACTTCATCTTCTAAATTTATCAAATTTAACTTATAGACACCAATTTTCATATTTACGAAATTTGTGTGTGAAAATAATTGACATTTTTTTGTTGGCATAGTTGCAATGATTGACGAGTGGGCAATTCAACTCTTCTTGCGACCCAAAAGAATCTTTCTCCAGTGCTGACTTAACGCTCCGATGCGCGCGTGTTACAAAGTCTCAACATCAAGGGTTAGGGTAAAGTGTTTGGCCCTTTGATGGATGACTTTTTATAGATATCTCAATTGCTACAAAAGCGATTTCTTAAGAATGAAATAAATAAACAATAACAAAGTTACATTTTATTCCCTAATTTTATAAGGACTAACTTTCATCTAAATGTATTTTCAGAAAACCTTTATAAAAACCAATTATGTACAAAAAATTACTCGTGGATCACGTGGCAAACTCAAATTTAAATTTTCGGATATATGGTAGCATATATTGCATTTAAATTGGGATCTTGAGATATAGGTCTCTTGTGACAAAATTTATTAGAACCAAATAACAAATTCAACTAAATTTTTGCTTCACATCCTTTATAAATTTAATTCAAAAAATGTTCTCCACACATAACAAATGAAATATGCACCACGTAAAATTTAAATAGTATTTATCATTTTTTTTATTCATTTTACATTTTTATTTTTGCATCTAATTTTTTTACGTATAACACGGTCTTTTTTTTATTTTAGTATTTTTCAGTATTATATAGAAAAAAAAATTAGGTTTAATAATGATTTATTTTATTTTTTATTTTTTTTTTTCGGTCGTAGTCTAAGCACCCGTAGTAATCGTAGTAACTCATATTCATTTGTACTGCCGTAATCACCTATAGAGACCCATAGAACCCGTAGTAATCGTAGTAACCCATCGTCATTTGTACTGCACAATTCGAAAACTCTAACTCCTTTGAACCCTAGCCGCGAGTCAGTCATACACAACCATAGACACCCACAAAATCCATAGTCATCAACAAATAAAACCCTAGATCTACGACCATCGACACCGTAGCCGCCAAAATAAAAACCTAGATCTGTAAAACCGCCACCATAGCCGCCATCACCTCCATATTCATCGCCTCCAGGCCCTTCCCTATCTCCATAACCACCCACATTGTAACTGCGACCATCACCGCTCCTAACCACTTCCATAACTACCTCCACCATACCCACGACCTCCATAGTCGCCCCCACTCACCATATAGCCGCTTCCATAACAACCCCCACCATATGCACCACATCCATAGCCGTTGCCATTCACCATGACCGCCTCCATAACAACCTCACGTTACCCGCCGCCTCCATGACCACCCCCACCACCACCATAGCCGCCATAGCCACCCACCACAACTGGGAAGCAACAGAGATAGAGAGGGAGAGAGATATAAATAAACAAAGAGCAATAGATCGAGAGAGAAAGAGAATAAAAGAAAAGAAACAGATTTTTGTTGAGAGATGTAAATAGAGGTTATATTTAAGGTATAAGGTCAAGTTAAAAAAATAAGAATGCGAGACATATTATATTTTAAAATATGGATGTATCTAAAAAAAACTAGTTTCGGGTTGTCATTTAGTTCTAATTAAATTTGTTAAGGGGGACCCAAATGTATTGACCCCTTAAATACAAGGATTTGGTTTGAAAATTTCAGATCATTTCAAATAGGGTAAACCCAAAATCTAGCACAATTATTCAATATAAAAATTAAAGGTAAAGACTTAAATTTCATTCTCGAGTCAATCAATACAAATAAGTCAATAATTTGTTATTGTATTGATGGTTG